TTGGTATTAAGATTGATCAAAACTAGATGTCATTAATAAAAGCTGAGCTGTTCGTGTTTTAAATGGATGTCTCCAGCTATGTAAATTACAGGATGTTTAATATTTGAGCAATCACAACTATGTTGTGTTGCGCCTGGAGCCCAATAAATCCAAGACTAGTTTATCAAAGTGTAGCAGAGGAGACGTCAACAGAAGCTGCTGCCTCTCTGTGAAGCACCAAACCTGTATCTGTGGAAACCAGAACAGAAAAAAAAAACCCTGTAAGGAATGTCTCCTTACGTTTTTAAAACAGCAGCCGCACAACTCTAATTCAAAGTACACTTTGCACACAGTAGCTCTTTTGATATACGTTCTGTTTTGCATTTCCATAACAACGGTAAAGGGATTGTCTGGGTGTGATCTGCTTTGATTCTTCCACCAAACAGCTCAGAGCAAAACGGATTTCATGGTGTCATTCAACATTATTCTTTCAAACTCCAAAGCATTCATGAAAGGTCTATACAAAGTACAGAGTATGTCCCAAGCCTAGTCGGAAGAGAATAAATACCAACAGAAACTTAGTGTGTTGCTGTACCAGTTCTGTTTGGAGTCTCTCATTCTCCTGCTTCTCCTTATGTAGCTGTTCGTTCAATTTGGCGAGCCTCTGGTCGGCAGCCTCCCTAAGGCTCTTCTCCTCATCATAGCGGGACTTTAAGTCTGTAGGATTCAACAATTCAGAATAAAGTTTAATTATATCCAACTAAAAACAAGACAAATAACTCCATGTGATAACTGATTTGAGAAACACTATCAGTGTAAAATGCCTTCGGGCTGTACCAAACAAATGTTGAAGAATGAACAACAACTTACGCAAGACAAAACACAATGGATGGATTGAGTTTAACAGTGATCTAGTAAAAGAGTACTTTAGTGTTGGTAAATGATGCAGACCCACAAACACAGGCCTCCCAGTTCCCTGGACCCACACTAACCTACTATCTCTGTGGCCAGCTGGGCAGCCTTCTGCTCAAACAGGTCTTTCATCTGCTTGATGTTGAACTTTTCAGTCTCCGCTTCATTCAACTTCCTTTCAAGGACTGAGAAAAGAGCACCACATATTAGAGATTGATGTTTGGTATCTTTTTCACAGGGATTTCAAACAGAACGTCCCCCTACCTGAATCTTCTGAGTCCATCTGTCCGTCGTTCTGTGGAATCGAGACAAACAGAGAAACATGTACAGTAAGAGTAAGCATTGCAATCATCATCATTAAGCAGTTTTACATTCAGAATATGATTGTTATGATACATATTAAATATCTTGAAGGAATTACTTGCTTCAGTTGTCCTTGGACTTTGTCCAACTCCTTCTTGAGTTCTCCGGAGAACCATCGTTCCTCCTATTTAAATTAAAACACACATAGACACACAATTAAGTCTTTGTACGAACGGACCTTTTACACACTCTGTTTGGTTCAGGAACTCGACTTTACCTTGAGAGAAGCATGCAGGTCTTGAACCTCTTGCCGCAGCATCGTCAGGTCTTCCCTAAAAGGAGGGAAAAGTGTCATCACAAAAATCCACACTGTTAAATTCTGTCAGTTCCACCATGAGTTCAAACTTCAGTCATAATGAATGCAACGTTAATATCTCACCGAGTGGGGGCCACATGAGCGGGCAGGTCTCCAGTATCATGGAACAGCTCATAGTGCTTGAACAGCTCCTCTGCAGAGTTGTGAGACTTCATGCACTGAGGACAGATGAAGCCCTGAACACAGAAACACACAATCACAATCAACCACGAGATAATAACTTATCAGACAGCTGTAGCTCTGTAGCTCTGCTTGCAGGGTAGAAGGAAAAAAAGGCTACCAGCTTTCAATTAGGATAAACTATTGACAGTATATATAAAGCATAAACCATCCTCGTTACCTCAGACGTCTGATCGTGGTTAAGGTCTGTGCTGGGCTGCTCTGACTCCGCGTTCTGGGAGCCTCCCTTCCCAGGAGTCTGAGGAGGAAAACATATACTTGATTAGTCTGACTTTATAAAAGCACTCTGTACAAAAGAAATGGTGGGGAGAAGATTTATATCCTTTCTTTTTTCACAGTTTTCTCTAATAAATGAACGCACTATATTCCAGAGAGACGTCTGAATGTTAAACATACTGTACACACCTCTGACTTTGACGCATGTGGTCTTTACTTGTATTGTGTTCTCGGTAAATGTTGGATCAAGTGAACAATAATTCACTTCAGAAAAGAAATGCGAGGCTTCCAAGAAAAGAGGCCTTACAGCAACAAAACAACAATGCTAGGGTGCGACTTTTTAGCCTTAAAAACATTTTATGTGAATAATTAGCTCTTTCCTGGAATGTTTTTTGTATTCGGCTTTAGAAAGGACGCTTAATAACGACAGCTGTATCGTGAAATAACACTGTAGTATGTGGTCACACCAGTTCCTCCAGCTGCTGTATAAACCTTTGCCTTTTCCCAGGCTTCAATGCTTCAACTTTAAAATCAGTGAATGTAATTAGGTTTTACCGACACTGAACAGGAGACGCATACATTGGCACCTTCGGCAGCGATTAGCGCCTTCAGTGTACGTGGATATTTGTGTGTAAGCTTTTCACATCTGCTCAACTTTCCCTCTTTTTTCTTTCTGCTAAAGCTTTGTCGTGTCGCATGGACGCACTAACTACATTTCTCTGTTATTTGCCATGTTTATTTTCTTTCACTTTGTTTTAGAGTCTCAACAAGACTTGACAGATGTCGTATGAGGTTTTTTTTTTTTTTTTCCCCACCAACAGCCACAAAGTATGTGCAGCGTCTCCCCATCTGTGTGTCCGCAGGCCTCTGGTCAACCTCACGCACAAGCACTTCTCACAGACACACTGTATGTGAGGTCAGCCTGCTTGGGACAGATTTATAGCTGTGTCCTTTTCATTTTTTCCTCCACTTTTTATGATTAACCTTACGATAGGGACTTTCACTGCCTTATATCCGTGTCCTGACTTCGCTCCATGCGTTACTGTCCAATAACGTGGTTGCATATGTTTGTTTTCATGATACAGCTTTAGAAATAGTCAGCTTTTGGACCTTCCAGATTACTGTGCTCCTAACTAAATGTATTCTCTTTGTGGTTATCGAACATTATTATGACCGAACTTACACTGCCTTTGTCTTAGCGTGTTATATATAGAACACGTAATACATAACACACGAATTACCATGGCCCCTCTAAATACTGTGGTCAAGTGACAAGGTTATGTTAAAAAAAACACACCCTGTAAATTAGAGCACTGAAGGCCGAATGTGTGACTGATGACGAGCCTCCAGCACAAACACGTGAAATCCATTCACAAAAAAACAGTTTGCATGAATGAATCAGGTGAATACGTGGGTTTGTGTGTCAGCGTGTGTGTGAGCGTGCATGTATTGGAGGGGGACTTTAAACCGAGTCATCTCAGAGGCTGACAAAACACCAGTTTGACGGCAGGCTAAGCATTTGTATCACGACACAACTCACACAAACTGAACACCTAAAACACACTCTCTACCAAAGTGCTAATATTTAGCACAAAAAAGTAACATGGACAAATCCTTGACCGTGTTACTTACTGACACACGTGCATAAATCACAACTTAACCATTTTTTGGGGGGGGTCTTGAAGTAGACGTTATGTTTATCAAAAAAAAATTATCAAATCTATCAGAGCTGTAAAAATAAGCAAATTCTGGTCAAAGGTGACCAGGCGCAGCTCTGGCGTTAAATGATAAAGCGATAAAATGCATTGTAATCATTATCTTGGCAGTGTGGTCAACACTTTTGAGTCAGACCGAGCCAGTGGTTGCCATAGTGTTTAATACAGAGGACATATATCTGCATTAAAGAAAAGACCCTCTTTAAATCAGATTGTGTCCTATGAGCCTGTATTAATATATATATGTATTATTTTTACTTCGTTTGGCGTCTTAACCCTCCTTTAAACACAATCTTTTGGAGGTTTACAATCTAAATGCACATAGATGGATTTTCCTGGTGACAGGGCCGGGAACGCTCGCAATGCTCCATGGGAAATGTAGTTCCCCACATTAGAAGGCTCGCTCGGTTTGCTAACCTGCAGCACAGCCACTGCAGCTTTAACGACGAACAACAACAACCGTGTCACCGTCTCATAACATCAACGGGAGCCCGGTGAATTAAAGCGCTTGTGTTTTCTCTCACGTCGCGGTCAGTCGTCGGACACGCAGCGTTTCCCGGCGGTCAATCTGTGAGCTAGCGGACGATGAATTAACCCACCGAAACATGAAACGGAAACCGGTTAAAAAAAATAACACTTTCAATGACCAAGCACGTTAGCTAGCTGGGCCAACCCCTCCCTCGACTAACCCCGGCTGCACGGACACCCTAACTAACTGGTGTTAGCACATTATGGAGGTAGAAGCTCTCTGTCAACAGTGGCATCAATCAGCAAAACCAAGTGTTAGCATTTAATGGCTAGCCACAGAAAAAAAAAAAAGGAGCGCTTGATATGTCCACTGCGATCGGACGCGGGGGCGGATTTTTTCCCCGATCGAATTACTCCCGTTGGCTCCAATCAAAAACCCCGCCCACCCGCAACACTCTGTTTTATAAAAGATGCGCCCCCACCATGAAAACAGACGAGCACAGGCCCTGCGTCTCCCGAGGAAGACGACTCGTTTTAAGCACACAAAAGCGACACGGCTGGCTGTGCAGCACCGCAACGCTCACCATTTGAAGTATCCGTCTGAGCATGGCCTTAGCTGTGTTTGTCCCGACACGAAATCCAATCAGTTTGTTGTTGTTTGTTCTCCCACAAATGCAAAGTTTACGTCGCTGTACAACGAACACCTGACCGGGCTCCGGAGGCAGCAGCGGCGGCGGCGGATGGGCGGGGTCAAGGAGGAGGATGGTTCAGCAGGACACCGCCTGGCTACATTAACATTAACAAGATTAACATACTGCACTCGTTATACAAACAAAATGTGGCGATGAGGGTGATCCATAAACTGTTGTTTTTATTTTGCGCTTTTATGTACAAACATGATGGTGCACAGCAGACTATTACAGTCACACATGCAGAAATAGAAGAAAAGAAAGAAAAAATAGGGGTTAATACGTTATTTTTTTTGCCAAGAACGTATGATCAATAAACTGAATTTATCACATCATTTGCACTCTCTGCTTTCTAAAAAAAAAAAAAAAGTCAGGCCTGCACACTGACCTTGACTTCCTGTCAGTTTCCTGTTCATGATGGGAGGAGGAGGGAGGAGAAACATAAATAAATAAATTCAATCAATACTAAATAATGTACATTTAACTGTAACAACAATTCCCAGTTTCCTTCAACATCCTATTGTTCTTATCTAACCACAGCTGAGTAAAATAAGGGGCTGGTTTTGTGTGTTTAAGGCAGATTGTAATGCAGGTGCAGTGTCCGGAAGATAAACACGATTTACTATTGTGTTTGTGAAGGCACTTTGACGTCTCTGAATAAAACACACTGTGATCTAAAATCTCCTTATTGTAGCCTTGGACATTAAAAAAGGACTTTGTCAAATGCACTTAATATGGTTCTTCTTGTAGTGTTGAATACTGTCTTTCTTTGGCACTATCGCAAGTCTTTATTATGCAGTTCTGTTTGACTATAAGGACGCTGATATTTATCTAACTGTGCCAATATACTGGAATTTACTCAGCCGGACAACATTAAATATATGTACAAATAAAACAATGTTTGAGGAAGGAGTAATTAAGTCTCCATTTCAGTGTCACCTAAGCTTTATTACAGTGTTACACTGTTACTAGTGATTAGAGATGATACTGTATGTACCTTTAAGGTCGTAATTACAGGAGGAGCAATGTTGTTCGCACTTGTTGCATCAAAGCAGACTTTGCCCTCAGCTCTCTTTAGATAAAATACCTCACCGAATCTGAGCTGTAGTGAAGCGACAGTAGCTTTACTCCCAAAAAGTGCCCTAACAATTCACAAAAAACTGAATTGTATTAGAATATACACACACACACATGTGGCTACTCCTCTTCAAAAACGCCTTGCAGAAGGGCATTATTTGGCACTGAGTCACTGTGGGGGTATGACTTCCTCTAAGAGCGAACACTTCCCAGTACTGGCCTCCAGGAAACCACCCAGACACTTGGTGCACTGCAAGGCAAATATTCGGCACGTAGGGCTAAAACGGACCTTTACATTGCATAAGTAGCACATTGACAAAAACCCACCTAAAGCTGAAGACTTTACAGGAACACATTTGCTTTATTAGCTGGTGATGGTTATTAAAAATATTTCCTTAAAAAAAAAAAAAAAAATCTTAAATATATACGTGGAAAACATTCTGGCAACCCTTCAAGCCCACTCGAAATCGGTTTCAAATCCCATACTGTACATATTAAGTTAGTAATGCAAATCGATGCAGAAGTCCTTTTGTACATGATATGTCCGTCCTGGTGTCCACTGAGAAGAACTGCTTGCTGCGGGGGTTGGCGGTCCTATCTGTTGACAAGATCTGAGCCCTCTGTGGCGTAAACAACATAGGGAGGTGTGTTGTTGTCCGTCACTTGGGAGCTCGGGGTGTTGCCGTTATTAGTCGGGCTGCACACAGGACCGCAGGTGGGGTTACAGGTGTTTGAGAGTCTGCGTAGGTACTCTGCGTGGACAGGCTTGTGGCTCTGCAGGACCCTGATGGCTTCGTCAACTTTGAACCACATCCTCTTCCTCCCTGTGTAAACATTCAGAGAAAAAGGACAAGGGCAAGTTGTTGGCATGTGGCTCACACACTGATCACACTGTAGATCATAACCTCCCAACATTCCCGTTTTTTCCCAGGATTTTCCCCTATTTCAAGGCCATCTCCTGTTTTTCTCCCATAATTTGCAGCATGGCTCTTAAAACTTTATTATGAATAATTATCGTACACAGAGTTTGTCTGACGTCACCGAAGTTGTGTAACACGATCTACACTCCGTACACACACTAGATACCACAACTACAGTAACTTAACCTATAGTAAGAAGTTTAAGCAGAGTTGGACTGAACAGTTTCAATTTCCTGTCATTGCTGCTTTATTGCCTTATTTTGCCAAAAGCCAAAAACCCTCGTCTTTGTAACATAAATGTTGGTAGGTATGAGGCATATGTCTGTTGCTGTAATCATGGATTACACTGAGCATATTGGCCCTTGCTGGGATTGACCCTGACTGTGACCTTGGGGTTTCGAGTCTGTCCGTGTGTCAGCTTTGTAACGGCTGTAGCGTTCCCATATTCCGACCTCTGACAGGTGCAGGAGGAGGGGTTTCGGAAACTGTGCCATGAGCCAACAAGCACTTTGTTTTAAGCATATTGGCCCCTTTAAACTAGGCCTCCACCCTGCTGATAAATATATAACGGATGGTAATACATGGATATTAAAGGTCCAGTGTGTGACATTAAGGAGGATCTTTTTGCAGTAATAGAATATAATATTCATAGGTATGTTTTCATTAGTGTATAATCATCTGAAAATAAGAAACATGGTGTTTTTGTTAACTTAGAATGAGCTGTTTTTATCTACAGAAGGAGCAGAGGCCACCATCTTGAACCGCCATGTTTCTACACTAGTCCAGAACGGACAAAACGAACACTGGCTCTAGATCGGACCTTTTGTGTTTTTCATGAGTTTTGTGGCCACCGTAGTTTCTCCTACATGCTTTGAACATTGTAATCTGCAACTACACTGCTAGATGACACTAAATCCTACACGTTGGACCTTTAAAGTTTGACACAGATAAGCAAGAAAACAAAGTATTTCTCATAGTCACACCATGTCTTACAACACAGTATGTCAAGTGGACTTGCCTGAAGTCTGCTTTGAAATCAGTGAGGTCATTTGTTGTTCAAGTTTGTGATTTCCTTGCATAACACATCAACACGGTGCCCTTCCATTCTTTAATTTTCTTCTATTTGAGTTGATCTTGTTTGTCATGCATCTGTGGGGTCTTTCTCCTTCTCTGTCTGCTACTCGCACTCCTCCCTCACTCAGCTTTGCAAAAACTTTGATTTGTTTATTTAAAGAGAAGCTTGGTCTTCTTGGACATTTTAATGAAATCAAGATGAAACTGCCTAGGACATTCTTCACTAAAAAGTCTTCAGCAGTGTTATTGTATGCCTTACTGAGTAGGGAGTAAGATTGCTCAACAGGTAAAATAATTTGCACAAGTAGCACAACAATTAAACTGCTAGACCACAGTATTATATAATATAATGTAATGTAATAGTGCAGCACAAAAGTCAAAGTGGGGCTGGACATTCCTAACCTACTTCAGTTAGTGTTTATGAAGCCCTCATGTCATCAAACCTTCCTAAAAAAGCACCTTCCATAAAGAATGATCTGTCCAGTAACCCGTCAGCTGGGAGTGATTTATACACAACTTCAAACCTATCATCTCCTCGCATTCCACACAGCATTTTGGTAAAAGGACATCGGTGTGGCCTGTGATCATTAGAGGGTGGTGTAAAACTTCATGTTGACACCCCAAAGTACACCACCGCTGGCCTTTCAGCAGAGGGGGAGAGTGAATTAGACCAGCAGCGCCAAGCTCTTTCCGCTCAGTCGCAGCCCTCGCGCAGGGCAAGAGAGGACAAGTAAGGAGGGGGCTGTGGTGAGTGATGATAACTGAAAAACAACTGGGCACAGCAAACATTCCTCCCCCTTGTGAACAGGCTGAACTCTATTTCTGTGGGTGAAGGGAGTAAATTATCACGACCACTTTTTTTTCTACACCAGTTAGAAATAGTTTAAGTTTCGAGTTACAAAGTCCCCAGAGAAGCATTAGATTTAAAATACCAAATGCATTCAAAAACAATAGTCATCACATGTCAGTGAGTCATCCAGATTACCGGCAATGGGGCAAAAAAATGAAGGGGGGAATTAATTTAATTTTAGGGCTGCAACTAATGATTAGTTTCATTAGAAATTAGTCCAGGACGACTTCTTCAAATACCCTGTTTTGAAATATTATAATAATCAATTCATCGACTAATCATTTTGATAACTGTTTTTCTGTCTTTCTATTTTAGGACTGTAAAGGGTGTAGAGCTTTGACTTAATCAATAAGTATGTGTCCCAGTTTCTCAGCTTACAAAGTGAACACTGGAGGCCTCAAAAGTCTTTCTCAATAGATTCCCCTTTATGGGTTTTACCCTTACTCAATATTCTTACTTTTTACTGTCAAAAAGACAACTAAATAACTTAAATTAGTTTGAAGAGTCAGAATATTTTCTGTATGCCATTATAACTGTGCTTTACTATCTTAGTAACATTATGATTTATTCATAACTGGTTTTGCCTAAAAACCCTTAAAAAGTTATTCTGCTGAGTGTTTTGACCAGTCGTAGTGCTAAGGAGTAGTGTTTTTGTGGGTCCCCAGTGTGTTTGTATGGCACAGCAAGAGGACACATACTGTGTCCACCAAATTAGCTCTGGTTCTCGAACCTTGGTGTTATCTCCCGAACCAGCCGAAGTTGGTCAACAGCCATCAACAGAGGGCGTAACACAACAACCTGTAGAATATGACACGCCCACTTTGGTTTCCAAGAAAAACCTGATATTTTTATATTTTTTCGTTCCACCTGGGAACCAACTTTTCAGGTTTCTAACTAATTTATTTGTGGTCAAAATGCTCCGAACTGTTAAAATTTAGGTGCCCGAACTGGAACTGTTCCCTGTTGGTGGAAAAGGCCTAATAGTGAACGAGCATGTAAGCGAAACATCCTGACACCGGTTTTACACCAGTCCACAAATCTGCAGTTGGTGGCTCTAATGTGCAAAAAAGTGTCACAATGAACCAACAAGGGCGTTCAGTGAGGAAAGAAATACATGAATGTAAACAGACTGTGATGGTACCTTTAATTTACCTCTATGGATGTGGGGCCCTAATGATTTAATAAAGAGTGAAAGTGTGGGTAAAGCCTGCATCATGATTTATGCAACACCATCGGTAATATGATGACAAAGTGAGACTTAAACTGGAGGCATACCAATGTTGACAGAGTCCTCCCAGTCTTCCAGTGTCTCCGTCACTATGAGGGTATAGACGTACGTCCGGTGCTTTCTGTCTTGATTGTGCTGCAAAGGTTTAGATGAAGACATTACTTTAGATCACTGCAAAAAGCTGGGGCAATGAAATGTATGCAAAGCTTTCATATACAGTAAATAAAGGATGTTAACTGTGATTAAATTTAGTGTTTTACAACAAGAACAAAACATCTTAATGCTCTCGCCGACTGAGGACTAGCACATAAATATTAGGCATGCCGATAAAGGTATTCTAGGCAGTTGATACAGGATTTTAAACAGAGTTATATAATGTATTATATGCCAAGTGAGAATTTATTACAATTTTCCATGACAGTTTGACAAGCTTACCTCAAAAATACCTAGTAGTCTGCCAAGCTTTCCCTTCACACCAGCCTGCACACACACGGAGGAAACTAATCAAGAGTCATTCAATACATTTACATTTGAATGACCACACAGTGTTGTATATCACCAGCACTGAATATTACATGTTCCTCATTAAGTTCTGTTTTTATAAAGTTCATAGGGACCTTCTGACACCAAGTAAGCTGAATGAAAACAGTCACTGTGCGACATTTTCATACAGCTGCAACACAGCGAGGAACGCGTGACCTGGTATTAGGAACAGCTTGTCTCTGTTCAAATGTGTATGCAGTCTCAGTTGAACATTCGTCTCATTTAGGACAGGAAACCCTGTGGCTTAGTACCATCCCATCATGGCCACATGCCTGTAAGACAGCATGGCAGAGATGACCAGGTAGACCTAAACATAGTGACAGCATGACGAGACAGAAGGGCTTAAGCAGTGCACGAATAGAGATCCATTTCTGCTTATGCACGGTTTGTCACAAATTTACTTTTAGAAGACTTCAGCTGTGGAAACGTAAACTCATGTGTCCTAGAGCAGTGATTTCCAAGCTGGGGGTCGGGACCCCCCCACACAATAAGTTCCAAACTTAATGAGGTTGTGAGATGATTAGTGGGGTAGGAAATAGAGAAACAAAACCAGCTTTAAAAAGTTAGGTTTGATTTTCAGAAAGTTTTTTCTTGTGAAATCTCATCACTCTTTAGTTTAACTAGTCACAAACTTATAGACAAACTACTCCCCGAGATGTGTAGGGGCCTCGATCCCAACCTTCTTTTCTCACAAGCAAACAAACATTAGGAATCATTATATTAGAGTGAGTCAGTAAAGCTAGGCAGCTTGTGGAGAAAGTCAGTGGATACTAATGGTATGTACAATCAACTTTTTGTAAAAATAAAAATAAATAAAAAAGATTCTCCCAGTTGCTGGCTGGGAGACACAGAGAGGCATTTCAGGAGCATGTTTCAGACTTGGCCTCTCTGAAGCCCACAACAGACAGAGACAATTATTCCATACTACATACGCATTGTACTGAATACTGTGCTATTATACTTAAATTTATAGTATTTTGTTTTTGCAGTAAATATACAAACGATATTCTTTAAGCTTTCTTTCTGGAGCAGTTTAACCACAATTTGCAATTTATTTTAATTTTTTGCAGCTGCACATAATTCTAATTTTCCATTGTGGTGAAATGCTGTAGATCAACAACACACTCAGTTGTTTTTCAGTTTGGATGCTGTCTTTTGAGCATAATTGTATAACTGTAATTTTGTCACTTTTGCATGGTGAACCCATGAAGTACTCAAAGCCTGCCTAGAATTAGTATGTAGTATGTAGTATATAATTGGGACAGCACTATTGCAAAATCACTGTCATGCTTGAATTTGTAGTGATATTTACCAGCATTATTATCTTTCATTGTTGTATACAAAAAAAAGACACTACAATTAAATTTGAAATCTCCCATTTGCAAACATTAAAACCATGAAGCCTTGAGGGTGATGTGTAGAACTTGTCAGCAGGGTATCAAACATGATGTTTTAAATTGTTAGCTCGCCACAGTGGTTGGTTTGCAGCTCATCCATATTCAGATACATGTCTGGACTGAGAGGCACAAAATGTGGGTAACTGGAAACCCTTCCCCAATGTCACTGCCATACTTTAAAGCTGTCAGCACCACTACTGTCTATGGCAGAAGTTCACCGCTCACCCAACGCCAAACACTCTGGCCAACTACCAGCAGCCTCCTTCACTAAACCACAGAACAATTAACTGGCCATTTATGCATCATTGCCAAATATTTCTATTCAGGCCAATGCAGGCCTGGGCTGTGGTTTTTCTTATTAATGCGTTTCATTTCAGTCCAAATTCCAACATCTGAGTCTTGTGGAGTTGGCTTCCACACCAGAGACCCTTTGAACAAATGAAATGACCCAGTTCACGACATCCTTTTCACAATATACATGTTTGCTGATTGTTTATCTTCCACTTCCATTTTATGACAACATAGCTTGTGAAAGCAATGCTGGTCGTCAGCTGACTCTCACTTGTTGGAAACCCTATCCCACAGCGAGTTGAGCAACACTTGAAGTTCTACTTTTACCTGCATTATCGTGCTACAGTATTATAACTTTGACCCCCCTTAAGAAATAAATAAACCAAGATGCAAATGTCTTAAAGTTATTTTTTTCATATTGTACTAGCAGAAACAAACTCTCTCAGAGGAAGAAAATCATCCAAACACATACAGTATCCTCTGGAAAATGGTCAGCAGTAATGCCAAGTATATGCAATCTGTGGTTAAACAAAATCACCCCTATAGACATTTGATGGTTTTACTAAATAGTGCCAACAACAAAATGTAAAAAGAAGAACAATTACATGTAACTGTGCGTGTATTTTTCATTTTTTCAGCTCACCTCTTCATACACCTCCCTGACTGCGGCTCCACAGGGTTCCTCCTCAGGCTCCATTCCTCCTCCTGGCACGATCCATTGGTCTGGATGTCGACTGCTGCTCACCAGCAGCACCTTCCAAGGAGAAAAGGCCTTCGTCAGATCTCTGCTGCGGAGTTCGGGGGTTGCCAAAAACACGCTAACGGCATGCCCAGATTTAGAGTCCCTCACCACTAATAGGTGTCTGGTGGCGACTGAGTGTGGTGCTATTCATTCAGCAGGAAGTGTATCGAACATCTCACACGTCGTTCCAGTCATTCACTGCGTTTCCTTAATGCAATATGAGCGTGGTGCGGATTAGGCCGCTGAGCATGACACACTCTTTGCCACATAATTTATGCAACACCTGCCAGGAATACCTCATATTTTGGGCAGACTACATAATATAATGCAAAACAATGGAATATGAACCTTAAAATTGAATGCAGTTGAAAATAAAAGATAAAAACCTTGCTGAAACTGTCCCACACGTAACATTGCAGTCATCATTTGATTAACAAATAATAAACAAATAACTATAATGTTGTTTTTTTTAAACTGACAATGATAACATTTTAAAAGCTCAAGGAGGCTATAAAACATGACAGAAAAATATGGCAAATCAGCAGTCCAATCTGAAATAATCAACCTAAAGCCCACACACTATGTTTAACTGACCTCAAACAGATGCAGTTTGGTCTTTTTTGAGCGCAGTGCCCCTCTGGAGAAGCAGTCACTTGACCTTAAACCCTATCAGGCATCACACTGACCCACATTAAGTTCACGTGTGAATGCTTACTGGACGTGTGCTGCCACTACATCCCCCCTTGTAATAGGTCTCTTGACAGCAAAGATTGGCACCAGAACCTCAGCTATTTGCATATCAGACACTGCAGGCAAACACAGACCCATCTGAGGTTTCCCAACGTTAAGATGTGTCCGCATTCCTGCTGAGACCTGATAGTGGAAGCATGGCAGTTTTGTGAAGAGCACTAATGACAACATCTTCACTGCCGTCAAAGCTGGTCTCGATTGCACAGAAATGACTGTGATGAGTGAAACTTCACGCTGTGTGGCGCTTGGCTGTAACTCACTAACTTGTAAGCGGGTCAAGACAAGAAGGAAAACCCAGAAGAAATCTCTTTCTTCAAACATTATTTTGACATTCTTGCTGTTAACTGAGCTTATTCAGTCATCAACCTTGTGAATTGCAGCACACTACAAAACTACAACTTAAGTAACTTAACTCAAAGGGGGCTCATATTTACCCGTTTACAAGCTTTGGCTCTAGATATAAATGTTTAAATGCGTGTGGGTGTGTCACGGTCCTTGCATTGACTAACTCTCAGGAGACTGTATGATTTATTCTTAACACAGACAACTCTGTCAATATTTATATATGAATTACAGGCCAAGTTATAAGATACAAGTGGCTGTCATGCAATTATCACATTCAGTGATATTGAATCTGCAGTAGTCACTTACTCACTAAAACATGCAGAGTTTATTCTTTACCTCACCGATTCACTGGTCCTGGGGATGTAAAGATGTATCGTGAGAGAGTTAAACCACGCTACAAATATGTGAAGATTAAAATTGGTGAGATGAAAAATGAATTGTAATATCAATGGGCAAAGACGAGAAAAAGGAGAGGAAATATGCTTTGTTTTGCACAGTTTGTACCCTACCTCATAAATACAAAGGCTCTAAAATCTGATAGATTTTGTCTTCTTTTTCAGTCATAATTTGTCTCCCATCTCATTTTTTTAAACAAATCGTTAGAAAATAATATCTTGAACCCAATATTGTGAATTATATCCAATTGTAAGTTCAGAGTATTGTTATATGCCTTACTAGTTCTACTCCTAAAGAAAATATATATAAAAGAAAATACAAAATATAAATGCAAAATGATGCAAAACAATGGGCCATCTTCCTGCTTTGAGTTATTATTCAAATCAACCATGTTGGTGTATAATGAATTTCTTTCAGCTAACCAAGAAACAGTGCCAATGAAAAGTATGGTCAGTTGGAAGTTTTTGTGTTTTTATAAAAGGAGATTTCAGGCTCCGTTCACACTGCCGACAAAAGTGGCCCAAATCCTTTTTTGCCTTTATGTGACTCAGATCTGATTATTTCATGACAGAACAGCACAAATCACAAATCTGATCCCTTCAATTTTGAGTATGGCCGCTTTCATCTGTGGTCCAAATCAGGTAATATCATAATAATATCAGGTGATTTTTGCGATGCGAACACGAACTCAGTGTCAAAAGCCGGATCAGAATGAATATGACTTTTATGTGACTGACATAATGCAGGTCACTTCAGGTCAGTGACCTCTTCACACTGGACTCTGATGTGGGCCACATTTTAAAAATAATGTGAACAGCACAGCAAAAATATAAAGGCTCTAGGGCTTCAACAGCTCTTGACACCTCTTCAAAGTGATCTACAAAGTGATCTAAATGAATTAAAAATATAGGCACTGTAGTAATTTATCTAATGCCCGTGTATGTGTCACATGGTGGAAAGAGTTTGCTGCATGATGACTGATGATGAGGTGGTAAATTAATAGTTGCAGAGGAGGAGAACAGTGGTGAGTCTCATTTGAAAGTTTGCCTGTGCAGGGCCCTGAGGGCTGCTGAAACACTGGCAGCTGTCTCACTGACACAAATGCACACAAACACACACATGCATGCGCAATTTCACACAAACGCCACGTGAAACACGTAGGCACTCAAAAAACCACTGGATCAGCAGTTGCCTTTCTGTATGAAAACAAAAAGAGCTTAGCGGAGGAGGTTAACGACCCCGAAACAGCTCCACACACACACCTCAGTGAGGGTGAGGAAGAGCCGCACAACAGCTTCACGGTGATCAACACCTGATTACCATCCAGCTACAGATATTACACTCATACTAAACCTGATGAGGCAAGAAGGTAAAGCGGGAACATATGTAGGGGTTCTGTTTCTTTGAGATTATTATCATTTCTGGTGCTGCAAGTATAAAGTGAAATTCAAATTGCAAATCAATACAGCAGCATTACTACTGATACTCTCCTCATGAAGCTTTCCGTCTAACTTTAAATTGTTTGTTGCAACTGTGTCACAGACAGGAAACTTTCAGCACAAACACTGATAATATAAACATTTTACACAATTCTAATTAGTTAATTGTAACAATAAACTTGTTTTTATGATTTTACACATTTATTGCCATATTGTGATACCGATTTCAACCGTACTGCCCAGCCAAAATCCCAAATTTGATTCTAAATTTGGTTTTTGTACTAGATTGCATTATACTGTAAGACATATTTCTTATTCACCAGGTTATTATTATTAAAAACACACAAGATGCCAGTTACACAAACATTGCATACCTTGTATTCAACGGGTGAATTGTGGGGGGGGTGAGGGTGGATGTTGTTGACCAAATGAATCCCCTCCCCCCTGCATTGATAAATCCACACTATAGGGTTATGGTTAGGGCCATCCCTCATGTTAAAAATTAACAAATAAGCTACTGCTTGCACTGAAAGGTTAAAAAAGGACAGACATTATTGTTCAGAGTACAACCAATATGAAGTCATGCGGTCCAGTATTCGTCTTCCTGGACTACAGCTGACACGCTGAGGAAGTGACTATAAACCAGGCATGCAGACTGGATGGATAGTTTACCACCTAATATACAATCAAAAGGAAAGACAGTGAGAATGACAGATGAGATCAGCATGCCAATGCGACGTGAGACCATTTAATCATCCTCCACTGCAATAATCAATAATCAGAGTAACTTTTAGCATTAAGGCAGCGCTCTGTCTGAAGAGCACAAGGAGCAGGAAAGCAAATCTGTCAGGGGGACAGCAAGTGCCTGCACCTTGTTTCTATAAATTGCAGCTGATAGGTCACTTGGTGTTTAGCACACAGTGTAACACACAGCCCCCAACCAGGCCCCTACGACCCCACTCCCCCTATCACATGTGGTCCTGAGATGGGTTGCCGTCACTGGGCAGACACGTTGTGATCTAGGGCAGGCCCCCCCGCCCCCAGTGTATAACTTCCTCCATATTAACTCTCAATTATTACCCCAAACAAAACAAAAAATGCTCTTAATTCCAGCAGCATCAAATGAAGATATTATGCTACATGTTCTAGAAAATGCTCACACTCTTAAATGCTTTTATTAAGAGTTAATGATAGCTGCAGAATGAGTGTAATGAGAGACATATTCAAACCTCTGTAATGTCAGTGTGCACACTACAAATTCCTCATTAGCCACATCACTACTTTTAAACATTTATGAGCGGGTGTGTGCAAACTGAGTAGCTGCGAGACTACTCTGATGTGCTTTTTTTTAAGATGTAAAATTAAATACAGACTAAATATGAGTGAACAATACCAATGTTGCAGCACCACATTGCAAACATACTTCAGCTCAGAACAAACAAACAGGTTCATGACACACACATATTGTAAGACGTAGCAGCGGTAGAGTTGCACGGTGCCTCAGCAAAGGATTAGTGATCACAATGATGTGTTGGTATGGAAATTACCTGAGCAATAAAACCACATCAGCTGACTTCAGTGTTAGAAAACACAACAACACCTTGCAGGGGAGTGAACGTAGATGCAAGACTTTATAAAGACAGGTGGTATGGTATATTTAAAGGGTGGCACTAAAAGCTTTATGAGAATTATAAACATGTAATCAAATAAATGTCAATGATTATTAACTTCAGCCAGGGACATAGCGAGGAAGCCTTGTGTTTATGAATTATGAGTTCCTCCTGGACAGGAAATGAAAATGATGGTCTCCTGCTGGGAGCTGGTTGCAGTGGGTGCCAGCTTGTAAGACCCCCCGTTGTTTAATAGGTAAAATATTTGGCCCTTCAGCCAAGTTCACCTCTGCCCAACAGCATTTATTAAAAGGCACCAGACAACAGAACAGAATACAACAGAATACACTTCCTCACACACACACACACACACAGTATAAAACCCAGCCTGTGTGTGTGTGTGAGAGAGAGAGAGACAGGTTAACCCTCAGCTGCAGCCGTCGACAGACACATCTTACCTCCTCCTCGGTTTCGTTTTTGAAGCACAAACACGCCGCTCTCCTCTTGAACCCTTCCCCGTCGTACGTCCTGGTCTGGTTGGGCTTAAACTTCATCATTTATATCAGCAACTGTCGAGTGTATGAAAGGGGGAGGAAAAAAGAAAAAGCGAGAATCTGGACTCAAACTAACAGCTGAAGAAAGTGTCTCCCGGCTGTGCCACAGAGTTTGGTGGAGGTGCAGGGAGGGAGGGAGGGAGGAGGGTGAGAGAGCAGGAGCGCTTAATTCTCCCGAAATCTTCCCAAACTGCTTCTTACCAGATAACCCAGATCACCACGGTGTGAGCTCCATTCATTCCCCGGCACTGTTAGACCAGATCTGGGGGCCTACATGTACCTAACCATGGTGGATTTAGTGCTGCTGTCATCAACCCACGCATGAATTCAACAAACTGAGCTCACCATCTGTGCGTGGGTGGGTCTCTCTCCCTCCCCCCTCCTCCCCTCCTCTCCTCCTCCTCCTCCTCCCTCCCTCCCTCCTCTGAGAGCTGCGCAACAGGCTGCCTCCTGTCGATAGCTTCCTGTTCATCATTAACGAGGCTGATTGATCCGGCACACGGGGCACACAATTAAAGTCAATGTTAAAATCGATGTAATGAGATTATTTCCATCTTTCAAACTAGTTTCCTCCACCATTACAAAGATAAATCCAAGGATGTGACTGAATTGTTGGATTTTAAATCAGTAGAGGGTGACAAGAAAAGTAATATTGTAACTAATTACTTTTTGGAGTAATTAAAAACAGTAAAAAGTGTAATATTGTTACTGTTACACTACTAGTTTCCTGGGGAATGTAATGTTATTTTACTGTAATATCATTACTAGTAATGAGTTAGTAAGTGACGTATTTTATGTATATTTTTTATTATATTCAAAACTGTTAACAATGAACTGAGTAACTGCAGGAAGTTTGTGTAAAATTAGTGATTTGGATCAATTTTGAGCAGATTATTTCCTGTTTAGGGAACTTTTTATACAATTTGCTGTCTGTAACAATCATACACATTTAATAGGCTTCTTTTTTTACAGATACAGTGGTTTATTGTCCCTGGAGCTTGGTCAGTGTTCTGTTAGATAACTTACTTAACAATTTACTTTACATTAACTTTTCCTCACAGAAGTTAGTTAAGTTTTCTTACACCAATAAAATCAAGAACTGAACTAAGGTACTTGATCATTTGAGGGGTTTTTCAACAAGACATGCCATTGTAAACTGACCATTTGTGATGAGGTTTTATGTCACAAATTATTACTAAACTTTTTATAATCAGCCGACATCCTTGATCCCATATTTTATAATATAAATCTTACAACAGCATCGATATTCCCTACTTTTATTTCTTGTTACCAGGGGCATTTCCAGAAATTTTTGACTGGGGGTGGCCCAAGTGGGGCATTGGCATAGTGCAGGGGTGGCATGAAGTATGTGTCTCAGCTTTCCAGTCATTCCCAATGTATGCAATTAAAATGTAGGGACCTCAGTATATTCAAATACACTTGGCAAAAATAACACATTTATACCCCATGCAAAATAACTGCGTGGGATTAGCATAAAGTGGGCATGTCTACAAAGGGAAACTTGTGGGTATCCATAGAACCCATTTTCATTCAGATATCTTGAGGTCAGAGGTCAATGGATCCCTTTGAAAATGGCCATTGCATGTCTTGGCCATTCAGAATTCAGGGTTGGCCACCCCAGGCCCAGGATATATAGAAAATTAAATTATTCTTCAGGGGGGGAATGGTAGGGGATCGACAGTTTTCCTAATTGACATCTACATAAACAAAAAAAATAAATAAATACACCCGAAACAAATGAACAAATAAACACACAAATAAACTCTACCCTTTACCACCATGTTGAATTACATTATAATTATTAAGTTGCTGCCTTTACTCAAATCTTGGCAAGCCAGGGTACACGTGAGAAAAACAATCTTTACTAGTTTGTATTCTTACCCCACTTCCCACAAGGAAGCGTAAGGCCGATCCCTGCTGTTCTGAGGGCAAGTAAAGAAAACAATGCCTGCCTGAAACCGTGTTCAGTTCAGTGGAGCCGCCTGGTAATACTCTCACAGGTTTATTTACAGCAACATGCTTATTGGGTCTGTAATGTACTGCTGAGTATAGAATTTACAAGGCTCAGGGCTTCCCTCTGGTGGATGTGGGCTGTCTTTAAACCACAGGACGCGTTCAAAGGTGGAAATGTTCAGAGGTGTTTAAAATGACAATGCACGATTAGTTGGATGTGTATTCTTTATTGTAGACTGTTTAATCAGGGACATGGACATTAATAACTGTAGGACACTAATATCTGACAGCAACCAGAACAAGAGAAGTGCCTCTTTAAAAAAAAAAAAGGGACACGATTCTTGATTAATATGAATTTATGAATGAATCCTGACCCACATCCAAAGCAGCACTATGGCTCACATGAGGATTAAAATGTTTGGGTAAAAATCAAGGACCATACCATGCTCTGCAAAGATAATTGCTAAAATCAGGGACATGGGAGCATGCAGGCTTCAATTTTCCAGGCCAGTAGGACAACTCTGAAGACCCCATTGAACTTCTTTAACTTAATCTGACTGAACCAGACCCATGTGCCCGGAGAGGAGACACAGCTCCGATTTATTCTGTTAACTGTGTAAAGGTTTAGGCGCCACGTTTAGGGACCTGGTTCAGAGAAGTATCTTTCAGTGCATGGAGGGAGAGTTTGTAATTTCTTGATGGTTTAAATCAGCAACATTGTGTGTGATAAAAGGACCCACAATGGACCTCTAGTACCAGACTAGGGCGTCTCAACCTTCACACACTGATTAAGTAATAGTCTACCTTGAAGGAGGGAGGAAACAACTTGTAGCTAAATAGTTAATATTAAAGTTAAAATGAATGTTCAGTACAAACTTAACAAAAACTTCCAATTTACACAATAAGCAACATACATTGCTCTGAATAGTACAATCTAATTAATTAATTATAAATGGTAATTATTAATTATAATACATTTATTTTCTATTTTATAGATCCATAGATGTACAGTTTATAATAAATATACCTAATAATAATAATATATACTAAATCTTAGTTAAGTTATGGCATTTGTCAGTGGCTGAAAGTACATTAAATCAAGTATTGTACTTAAATATATTTCATTATATTTACTTGTATTAGTATTTAAATTTTTTCTATTTTCTAATTCACAATATTGTACTTGCAGTCCACCACATTTAACTAAAGTTACTTGTTTAATTTTATACACAACATATGATTAACTTACAAAGTCCTGCACACCCACACAGATGTTTACACTTCTTGTTGCAGTTGAGCTATGATGTGAATTATGTGGTTAACAAAATCCATGAACTAATGGGTGTTAAAGGCGTAACTTGTCCCCCTCTGTACCAGTCCTGACCAAACCGGAGACCTTAGTGGTCCTTTAAACTATCCAGCAATTAAATAATATAAACTGGCTCCACTTCAATAATATAATATATAAGAACATTACCATTCTTAAAAACTCCTCACAGCATTCACAGTGGTATCTACCACACGTGTCTCATCAAGAATGACACCCAGGCAACTGTTTATTAATCAACAGATTTTATTTACAGAACATAACAGTATGCAGGTGGACTGTTTCATAGTATTCTGAGGGCAGGTTCACAACTTGTTTGGTCCAGTTGAACCGAATCCAGGAGCATTTACCCCCAAAAGTTTGTTTGGGTTGGTCTGAATGCCGGACTCAAACTGTAGTGTAGCCCAAACATCTGCCCTCATGTATGGGACCGCTATGAAGTGAACTCTGGAGTGGTTAATTTCTGGTGTGAAGACTATTCGAACCAATCACACAAAGTGTACCATTGCATGTGTCACATCAATGGTTAAAAAACTTTTTTCACTTCCTGCTTTGGTGAACTAGTATCCAGTTCAGTTTGTTGTACTACACCCCCCCCCCCCCCCCCAAAGTGTCCGATGCATGAGATACCGACCCCAAATCTGTGTAAGGGAGCCTGATAGGAATTCTTCCTGCCAATCGGACTGGAGATTCCTGCGTGTGTCGTTTCTGGAATTACAAATTTTAACCACTCCTCAGTGAGCTGCCTCCTCAACAATCCAACAATTTCAGTCTGAGAGGGAATTTTAGTCTGAGTTTTGCCTTTGTGAGCGTAAACCGGACCAGTTGGAAAAAGTGAAACGATGTATTATCCCCGCACTGGTTCGATTCAGGAACCGGACCTTTCGGTGTGAACCCGCCGTGAGAGCAGGAAAACATTCCATCCCCAGATTAATAGAAAGAATGAATTTACAAACAGTGAATTGAATACAGACTTTTTCAGCCAAAAACTAGTCGTGACAGAGACAAAGCCTCCATAGATATTCTGGAGCATGATCCAGCATCTCCTGTCATACGGGTCACCAACCCCCACCCATCACATCATCAAACAACTGACTGCTGAAATGTAACCACTGCCTTGTGAAATAAATGCCATTGGAAGAAGTTAACCACTGAGTCTTGTAGCATTAGACTGTGATGACAAAGGAGGGGGGGAAGCAGAGTGGTTAGTATGGCAACTGCAAGAAAGATTCACATATAAAAGACTGGATACAGTAAAAAAAAAAAAAGTGCTAAAACTAAGGAATGGTCCACAATGTCCACCTTACCCTCCACTCTCTCCCACAACATCCACAATCCACTGAGAGAGGTCGTAAAAGGTAATGTGACTGTGGCAGGCTCAGTTTAGTTTTTAGTCATATTTTGTATTTACTGCAGCCAAATGTGACTTAAAGAGGAAAAAGTATTGCTACGATTGTTTAGCGTCCTGCTCGGCCGTCTACGCAGGACGAAACACTGGTGCGCCTCCAGGTGAGTGTCTACATACAATGGGCTAGTAGTAGTTAGCTGCTTTTAATAAACAAACAGCGACACGAGAAAACAAAGTTAAAAGGTATAGTATACAATATTGAGCACTTCTAGCCAGTGTCTCCTCCACACCCTACTCCACAGCTCTGGAACGCCCCCAAACCCAACGAAAATGTGGGATGTCGGTCCCTCTTTCCTCCCCTAAAACGTGCTTGTAAGCAGCAGTTGGCAAAAGCCTCCCAAAATCAATGGACAAAGAAAGCCAGGTGAGTAGATCTAAAACCTTTGCCCATGCATTTAAACAGTAGTGAGTTAGGACAACGACGAGTGATTTCATTACGAGTGTGCATTTAAATCACCAATTGTCAGCAGTTGTTTTGTTTTTTTTCCTTTACAATATATTCATGTTTATTTCATAATATATATGTATATATATATATATTTATTTAAGACTGTGTCCTTTAAATGCAAATGAAGTTGGAAGAGGTCTTGGCAGAACGTGAGGAGTTGTGTTCACACTTCACTTCCACTTGTATCTCCACTTGTTGTTAGGCTGCTCTACACTTCGTTTTTGCTTCCAGCATAAAGCCTGGTCCATGACTTGGCTGTAAAGTGAAGGAAAAAACATAAGTCACGTAAAAAAAATTACCAATGTGGCTTTTTACAAACTTGTGCACACAGTGAGGAAAAACTTGGATGAAAACCGCATCAATCAGGATGGTTTGATAAGATAATTAATAAGAATATCATCAAAGACAAACACAGTAGATAGGCAACACATATGAAAAATGTAAGTTGGATGATAAATTTGTCATAAAAAAAGTTAATGTGGTCATGAATTAAGCAAATAAATGTATTTATCAACAGATATTTTTATACATTATGTTGATTAAAGAAGAATAAATCGTTTCAGTATTGTTCTTTCTTTCTTATCTTGAAGGTTTCACCAAATGTAGGCACAAATGATTTAATTCATCACATCACATTGATTTTATCGACTATAAAACTACTTTCATCTCTTCTACAGTTTGTTTAAATTCAACCAAAACTGCTGTAATACGCCTCGTCCAAAATGATACACACTGTGAAAACATTCCTCTTATGTCTTCCTCCAGTCAACATGAAAACACAAAGAGAGACGAAGAAGTTGTGGGGAAATTGCCTTTTCCGAAAATCGTTTGATTATAATTTTAGCCTTCATTAAACAACGTTGGTGTATTGTAGTTTCATCCCATTTCTGTAACTGATATATCGTATACAGTGCGTCAAAAATCACACCTTATAATGTAAAATAAACTGCACATAGTGTTTCTGTGTATTTAGGCCAGATGTTCCTTTAATTCAAACGATGGAGGGGAAAGGCAGCAGACTAGTTGAACCCAGCCAGGTCATACAGGAGCTCTCACCTGTTTCTATGGCTTCAGCTTCACTTGACTTCCACTTCTCTGCAACGTCATTTGCTAGGGGATCGTCGGGGTTGGGTGCACTTAGTAACGCCTGGATTGAGAGCAGCACTGTACGAATCTGCAGAGCTGGCGACCATTTATCTGAAAAGATGACAAACAGAGGCATTCCTCAGATTAAAACAGAGACAAAAGAAAAGCAGAGGGACAACAGAGTGCACGTCACTGTAAAAGAAGAAGTAGTTTATACTGCAGGGGCACTGGAGAGACAGTTATGATATGCAGTATTAGTGGTACAAAGCTCCAGCTGGGGGTCACATGTGTAACATAAGAGGCCCTTGATCTTTTAAGCAAAATGAAATTGGCAAATCCCTCACTTCATTCACAGGCCAAACATCACAGGACACAATACATATAGGCTTTGCTACAGTGACAGGCCTGAGTGAACGGACCAAAGACAGTCACTGAACAGATCCAAAAAGGCTGTAAAAGCTAACGTTAAACACATTTTCAGCCAATGGAAAACATGTCTTTCAAGGTAAAGCACAATGCATACCACACATAGCTGGGCAAGAATAAAC